CTTGGATGTCGCAATTTCCCAGACATAGTCTGAGCAAGAGTAAAATAATAAAGAAAAATGACTATGTGACATGGCTTCCAGGAGCTATTTTTTCCCTTCCCACTACGCTCGCAATACAATGCCTATATTAACAAAAGAAGGACACATGCGACATGCAACATGCAACATCAACTTGACATTGTGCGCCACAACGTAGGCTTGGCTCTTTGCGTTTCCATAAGGAACTGGACGGATTATTTTCCCAGCTACCATAAAAAAAAGTAGAGTAACAAAGCTAAATGATCCAAATCCGAATAAAGTCAGTTTCCTCTCAGTGCATCCCGCGAGCTTGGAGATAAGACGTTAGAAGTAGAAGGTATTAGGACGTTTGAGGTATCGGTGTCCTGGGAGTGTTGAGAATGGTTGATTGTATAGTCGGTACAGCTGTCCTGTGCGTTTGGCAAGTTTTGGAATGATAACTTCCCACTGAGCTCATTTTCGCCCGGGTCGAAGTGGTACCACCGGTTAGACACCAGTAACCAGCATGTGTAGAAAGTGTGGGCAGCCTTGGTTTGCGTGAAAGCGTACGTAAAGTCTTGAATAATGTGCAGCATGAGAATCGATTTCCACTGGATAAACATGGCCTCACCAGAGTGCTCAATGCCGTCTAGGGATAATTTTGCACAAGTGCGGAAAATCTCCCAAACCGCCATCCAATGTAGGGCATCAGCGTCCTGCGATTTGTTCCTCCAGACGCCAAAGCCTATGGCGACCATACGTAGGTCGACCTGAAAGATGGGCCCAGCCGTGTCTGAACGTAAGGCTTGTAGAAATTGCGAGACCCGCTGCCAGAAATCTTGGACGCGGGGACAGAACCAGAAGTAGTGTGCGATATTCTCGCTCTCTATCTCCTCGGTTACGTCGCTGGCGTCGTTAGATCGAGTAATAGCACTGATACGACAAGCATAATATGACAATGTCACATAGAAAATGATGAGATATTTTATATCTCTTTAAAACCAATTCACTGTCAAGAAGTCTGCCTTTTAGCTTGAGAAATCTAGGCTTTTGTGCTGCCTCCGTAACATAATGGATAGTGTGCCGCTCTCCTATTGGCCGGAGACCTATGTCCCGTGACTAAAAATGTCATTTGTCGAAGTTAAGCGGATATCCGGGTTCGAACCCCGGCGGAGGCTTGTGGAAATATTTTTTTATTTGCATCTCGATGCTTATTTTTACTGAAATCGTTACTTTTTGCTATTGTCACTGCATCTCCATTTCCGTGCACTTTATTTAATATACGTAAGCTTATATTTACTGTTGTTCTCTTGTGCAGTCGCCACCCCGCAGGAATCACGAGCCGAGCTCCACTTTAATTGAAAAGTAGAGAAAGTAGCAATTATCAATGTCCATAAGTCCCCAAATTCCCAGTCATAGATGATCATCCATCACACAATGCGAGGGAAAAAAAACATGTGCATCGTCTTTTATTATATATTTTTTTCAATTTTATTATGCGAAGAACGGGAAAGGCACAAATTGGCAGTGGCGCAAACTTCAAAGGGGTGAAAAAGCCAGTACGTGGGTTTGACGACCCGACTTCCGAATCAACAAGCAATAAAACGGTGGCAATAGTAGACGCACAAGGCGACGTTGTTCTT